ACCCCGCGCTCCCAACTGCCAGAAGAGCTCTGCAAGTCTGTTATTATGACGATACAAAAGGAAGAGAGTGAATAGGTGATGCAGAGACATTATGGCAAAGCTTGTCCTGAGATGTCCTAGCCATTCTTTGGAGACTTGATGAGAAAGAGCCTGACATTCACATACTCCATTGGGTGACAGGAAATAGCTGGAGCTGAAATGCATTCTATTGAATAGCATGAGGCTCAATGGCAGCGAAGTGTATAGCAGCAGATATTGTTATTTTGACCTAAGGAGTCGTACTATCCCGCCTTGAGTATAAAATAGAGAGGATGGGTCTGAACTGCAAACTCCTTTTCTTCGCTGAAATTAGAGGCAAGGAAGAATTCTTGACAGTGTATTAGCATACTCTGAACATAGATTTTAATGCTACTTCCCTGTAAACTCCAATTAAGATCTGGGCTGGGGGTGGGGAAACCTCCACATCAATCCTGTCTCTCCTAGCACAAAAATGTTCTTGTTAATACTGAACGTTGGTAATGAGTGTCAACAGGAGTAGAACCCAAATGGGACCACTGAGAAGAGGAGCCACTATGCTTGGATGATACCTGAGCATTCCAGAACGAGAGAGAGAGAAAAAGAGAGAGAGAGAGGGGGGGGACAAACATTCAGGGGGGCAGCCCTCTCCCCAGCAGCCCAACGAGAGTTGAGCATGCTCGCCACAGAACACTGACAGTTAGTTGGAAAAGAAGACCAGGAGTTAGCTAGCGTGGTGGTAGTGGTTAAGAGAGGTGTACTCGTAATCTGGTGAACCAGGTTCGCTTCCCCGCTCCTCCACATGCAGCTGCTGGGTGACCTTAGGCTAGTCACACTTCTCTGAAGTCTCTCAGCCTCACTCACCTCACAGTGTGTTTGTTGTGCGGGAGGAAGGGAAAGGAGATTGTTAGCCGCTTTGAGACTCCTTAGGGTAGTTATAAAGCGGGATATCAAATCCAAATTCTTCTTCTTCTTCTTCTTATTCGTGGGGAAATAGGATATTTTGCTTGGGGAGAAGGACTGGCTGGAATCCTAAACAGGAGGAGGAAGGGATGTCAGAGAATTCCAATGAAATGGGAGTGGAAATTGTCAATGTTTGCTTATTCATCCCATGTCTGGGATGAAAATCAATCCAGGGAATACGATCTGTATTCGCTGCGGCTGCTGCTTTCAGTCTGCAAATGATATGTAACTGATTACGTCTCTCTCCCCCCCCACCCTTGCATTTGCATTTAATTTCCTTCGCATTCAAATGAATGGGGCGGAATAACATAATAGCAATGCATTCCATAATTAATTACATAAACTTTGTAAACTATGCCATTTTGCCACAGATGAACAGTGTCTTTCTTTTTTTGGTGGTAGATGAGCGTCAGCGAAATGGAAGCAGTGGTACATGCAATGAGCACAGAGTGGAAAGGAAAACTATGGCTCCTTACATCCCTTAGGATGGAGTATAGGATATGCTGCAATATTTTATTGCGGTTTTCATTTGTGCCATTCTAACAGTCCAATCCCAAAGATGGATTCATATGCCAAAGTGACTGACCAGGTCCAATACTTTGCATACAGAAGATTCTAAAGTCAACCCTTGGCATCTCCAGCTAAAAGACAGTGATGGAAGAGACTTCTACTTGATAATAATTTATTACTGAAAAGATGCCCATCCGGCTGGGTTGCCCCAGCAAAATATAAAAACAGAACAAAACACCAGACATTGAAAACTTCCCAATACAAGGCTGCCTTCAGATGTCTTCTAAAAGTCAGATAGTTGTTTATTTCCTTGACATCTGATGGGAGGGTGTTCCACAGAACAGGCGCCACTACTGAGAAGGCCCTCTGCCTGGTTCCTTGTAACTTCACTTCTTGCAGTGAGGGAACCGCCAGAAGGCCCTTGGAGCTGGACTTCAGTGTCCGGGCTGAATGACAGGGGTGGAGACATTCCTTCAGGTATACAGGGCCAAGGCCATTGTATACCATGCTGCTTGTTTTTAGGTCATGCCATAATGAAATTTGGACACTGTGCATGCTAAGCAGCTCCAGAGCAGCTCAGACATAGCACTTAGACATGCTTTACCAACATATTACATGGTTACGTTCTACCTCCAGGGCAGGAGTCAGTGTGCATTTGTAAAGCCATTCCTGGGAATCAGAAGCAGAGAGAGTGCTGTTGCACTGAGCTCCTTCTTGCAGGCTGTCTGTAAGCGTCTGGTTGGCCACTGAGAGAACAAGCTCCTCAACTAGATAGGCTCTGGCCTGATCCTGCAGGACTCTTGCTACATTATTAGCTTAGATTAGAGTTATCCAATGTGGTGTCCTTCAGATATCTGTGCTCCCACCTTTCTAGCTGGCTGGGGCTGATGGGAATTGCCATCCACAGCATCTAGAGGGTACCACATTAGTACTTGACCCTGATTGAAAAAAGTAAATTTCTTTCATCATATCAATTAGCCTTGGTTCAAATCCAAGAAGCTACTATATAATGTTTGGGGCAGGATGCTAACCTCTTTCATTTTAGATGTGATCAAAACAGCTTAACTTTCAAATTTATTGTTTGGGTAAGTTATCCCACTCCCACCCCATGCTTATACTTCTATATTTAATTTTATTCAGAAGTAAACGGTAGTTATAAAACATTATCGTCTCACTTGGGAACTAAGAAAACCAACAAAGCACAGGGCAAAGGCATTTAAATCACGACCCAGACACTCCATCACCGTCCAACTTTACATCCATTTAAAAGGGCATTATGTGCCATTTTCACCCTATAAACAAAGAAAGGATAAAATATAAGAATTTATTGTTGCTAATAAAGAAAAGAGACAGTGGGATGGGGGGGGGGAAAGGAGTCGAAATAATTTAACAACTTTTTGCAGTTCAGCAGATATCACAAACATGGAACACCCCAAACAGTCCATTATACATTTTAATTCACAGTATAATATCTCTTCACTTTGTATGGAAAGTCAAAACGATGTCATTAATTACGCTGTGATTTTTAGGATTTGCCTAAAATGCAAATCTTGAGTTTGCTAGAATGCTTTCTGTTTATGTAATGTAGAAACAAGGGTAGCATGTGTTGCTGTTGTTTTAAAGAAACTCCTAAACTTTACTTTAAGAAACACAGCATAAGTTTCTTGAAGAAACATAAGAGAGCCAGTATGGTGTAGTGGTTAAGAGCGGTAGTCTCGTAATCTGGGGAACCGGGTTTGAGTCTCCGCTCCTCCACATGCAGCTGCTGGGTGACCTTGGGCCAGACACACTTCTTTGAAGTCTCTCAGCCCCACTCACCTCACAGAGTGTTTGTTGTGGGGGAGGAAGGGAAAGGAGAATGTTAGCCGCTTTGAGACTCCTTAAAGGGAGTGAAAGGCGGGATATCAAGTCCAAACTCTTCTTCCAAACTCTTCTTCTTGAATTTCAATTGAATTTGAAAGTTCAAATGGCTTTTAGTTCATGATTTTTTCCTACAATTTCTCGCTGTGCGCAACAATAAAAACAACAATCACATAGGTGAGGATGGAGGAGGAATTCAATTCAGTTATCATTTAAAGGCAAACCTACCTAATCTGTACTTCCCCAAACAATATGAGAACCAAAACACAGTTGTCCTGCGAAATATCATACTTCTCCGAATTTTGCAATGCAGTTCTCCAGCCTATGTGTACAAAAATAAAAATACTGGGGGCAAAGTTTCCATTAAAAGAACATTATTAGTGAAAACGATATACAACAATGTATTTTTTTTCTGGAGAAATAGCTTTGCAAATAAGTGTATGTTAGGCAAAATTGCATACGAACATGTATTTATTAGATGATATTTGCAGTAAAATGCATGAATCTTCATGGATACTATTTTTATAGTCACAATTTGATATGGAAATGTAGATTTGAAAATGAGGAACAGAAAGTTCACCAATCTAGATGCAAAGGTTAAGATAGCCTTCCCCAACATGGTGCCCTCCAGATGTTTAGGACTACAAAGCTCATCACGTATTGGCTGAGGTTGATGGAAGTTGTAGTCCAGAACATCTGGTTGCTGAAAGTTAGGTTACAAAAAATGCATCAAAAAACAAAATAAAATTATGAACAGCCAGTACCTATTGTATACCCAGAGTGGCATATAACCATCAATCCTCTTGCCAGGGAAGTATGGGAATTGTAACTGTGTGAGGGGGAAAGGCATCTCCTAAGAACTTTTCAACACCCTTGACAAACTACAGCTCTCAGAATTCCTTAGGGGAAGCCATGATTGTTTAAAGTGGCATGGCACTACTTTAAATGGATGGTGCCGATGTGAACAAAGTGCCAATTCAATTTAAAACAAATAGCACAGCAACACCTCAGAAATAAAAGGGTTTGTGGTATGGAGGAGCCACATGTGCCATCTTTTGTCCCCAAGAAACTGACCCCGAAGAGAAGTTTCTCGCTGCTTGGTGAAAGGGGCGCAAAACTCTATGCAGAGAGTTTCTGGTTTAGTTCCCTTCTGATGAAACCTGTCATTGATAAAAGAGAGTTCAAGCTTCACTAAACCAATTAAAATGTTTTTTGGCCTCAGGAGGTAAATAAAAACACATGATAGAACTAAAGCAGAGTGGAGAGTGGTAATCAGTACAGTAGTTCGGTATTGAACAATATTGAACACTGTAACAATAACACATAATAAATCACTTTGAAAGCTGCATTCGATATATTTTTTCCAAGGACGAACGAAGTATACTCGTGAGGATTGAAAGGAGGCCCTCTGTTGGCTTCATGATTTGTATTAGGAAGAAATGGCAATTTCTTTTTAAAAGGAAAACTTTCCCCTCTTGCACTGTACAACGTTCCTGCTATAGCAAGGGGAAGTGGGTGGATTGAGTTAAAAGCTTGTGCTTGACATAGTACCTTTGAGCAACTGCACACATTACATGCCTAGGAGAACACCAAAACACTGTGATTGTGATAAACACATGAATTTATGAGCAGATACTTAAGGGATATGTGACCAAACCTCTTGGCTGCAATTGTCGCTCCTTTACTCTTGCCTTTGAGGCATAAGCAATCAAACGAGGAAGCTTCTAATTCAAGGATGATCCCCCTTGTGCTGGAGAAGGTGTTTGGAATATATATTTTTTCAAGCGCGGTGGGGATGCAGAATAGTAAATGTGGCTTGGTCTTAGTATTTGACACAATTTCATCAATAATGGGTCGACTCCTGTTGCTTGACCCTTCCCTTTCACTGTTATCACTGGAAAGTGACCTTATCCAACAGGTAAGCCTAAAAATACTGTCTTATTTTTGCTGGTGGCTCAGATGGTCATTACTCAATAAAGGAAATGATGTACAGTGCTATCTAAAGAGGCATGGTTCAATAATGTTTGGGATATAGCCCCGTCTGAACATCTTACACAACACAGATTAGTGGGGAGAGGTGAAGCACAGAAAGAACAGCTTGAGGAAATGTGGTTTTTATTTTTATTTTCCTTTATTAACAAGGACTCAGAATTCTCAGGCCCACGCAATACCCAGGTCCCACTTTGCAGGGGCTATGCTGATGCGTAATAGTCACACAAAACTAGTAATGATTCTGCTAAGATATAAGATAATGTAATAAATTTGCTGTGCTCTGGTCTGACTCTGTGCTAAGTATTCTATAACCTGTATCTGTAACTAAATTCAACTGTGTGTGGTTTCTTGAAGTTCTTTCATTTTGTTTTCTTGAAATCAATACAAAATTATTAAAGGGTAGGGAATGGCTTACCCTTTTCAGGCAGAGAGCTGCATCGCTCTGTTGTAACACCTTTGAGGGCCACATGCTGGGGTGGGCCTGGGCAAAAAGTAGGTGTGGCCATACACAGTCTTAGGCATGTGTGTAGACGCCATCAGTGTATCCTGATTTGCTTGCTCAAAGCTTACATGGTGGTTAGACTATGTTCGGTCTTCGTTGCACATTTTTGTGTGTGTTGGTTCTATGACAATGAACATTCATCCTGGTTTGCTTGCAGATTGTGTACATGTCTTCCCATGAATCGCTCATTCATCCCACACTTTTCAGTAAATTGCCCCACCACCTTCCTAACTTCAAAATATGAGTGTGTTTAAGTGAATTTGTTGCGCTAGGGCAACAGAATACTTTAATCCAGCATTTCCCAATCTGATGGTCCCAATCCACAAGTGCGCTGTGAAGCCTCTGCAGGTTGGTTGCATACTTTATAAATGAACTCAAAATATCCTGTGATCAGATAAAGCAAAACTGAATAATTTTGTAAGTACTATAAATATTTCAACAATTCCACATTAGATAAACTTTTGCTGGGGTGCATCAAGTAATGGTTATAAAATAAGCAAACGCAGTTGAAATGTGCTAAATCGATGGCTGTATTTACAGTACCTAAGGCCGAAATTCATGTGGGAATGAATTGATGGGTCACCATGCCAAATAAATTTGAACTTTTGGGTTGCCATACCCAAAAGGTTGGGAACCACGGCTTTAATCCACTTTAATTGCAAAAACCTAAATCTCCAGTGTGCACTTATTCCTTCCTGCAAAATAGTGACAGTCTGGAGACATCCCGTGATGATTTGAAGAACAGAAAGGGCAATTTCCCCACCCAGCTCAACACTGTGATGTGCTGCCTGGTGCTGCCTTTGATTTGTTTGTGGGGTCAAAAGAAAATGTGCCAGGCCGCAACTTGTGGCTTGCCACACTATGCGCCAATTAACCATTTCATCCTTACTGGGAAACTATAGTTATGATCTTTGGAACAAGTCATGATCTTATGTCAACTTTAAACCATAAGCAGCAGTGAAAAATAATTAGGGGAATTGCCTGAGAATTCCCAGTTCCACACATTCAGATCACAAATACCTTAGTGCCAGAGAGCAGAAACCACAGGGAAATTATGGGGCGAGGAGGATGTAGCATGAGAACAAATCTTCATGGATTTAATATCACGCCAAGCTCTTTATAGTAAAACTTGTTCAGGTTACTCTCTCAGAGATTTGGGAGGATGCAGGTCAGCTAAACTGTTATATAGCTTGCTCTTGAGCTGGACTTTGGATTGTGTGGAAAACTCCGATGGGAAATATGCTTGATTTGGTTTTAACTCCCAGAGGACAACAGTCTTCATCATGAGAAGAATCACAAGGCTCTATTAGCCTTTGCTGCTCAGCGCAAAAGCCCCAACACAACGTTTTCTCACCTTCCTAGAGGACTGTCAGAGGTCAAATGCAGGGAGTCCAATCTGGCGAGGTGTTGTGTGATGCTGTTTGCCACAGCACCTTCATTTGGGGAGATGTTTCTGAGTAGCACGTTCTGTTTCTGCTTTGCCAGTCTGGCAACTCCATTGGAAATAAATAATTACACTGACATTTGAGGGGAAAATAACTTGAAAATGACCCACTATTTGTTGCTGGGAGAAGCTTTTCACACTATAGTACACGAGGAACTGGAATTCACTGATTATAGGCCAAGAAAGGCTTGGTTGATGTAACAGACCCTCAACCAAGGGGTTTCGTGTCTCCCTGAGAAAGAGTATGGAGTTTTAACTCTACCATTAGGCAGATTGGGGTGACTACCTCAGACAGCTATCTTTGGGTGTCACGAAAGGGCAGCAAATGGTTAAGGTATTATTGCTGCATTTTCACTGCCACACAACTTTAGATGATATGATGTTGCATCCAATGCTAGTCCTACTCTGAGGAGACACATTGAAATTAATGAACCAAAGTTAGTCACATCCATCAGCTTCTAAAGGCCTACTTTGAGTAGAACTAGCATTGGATGCATTCCAATAAAATAAAAGTATTCTTTTATATGCCACTTAAAGCTAAAATAGGAGTCAAAGTGGTTTACAAGTATGAAACATATACAAACATCACTAAGCACCGCCACGGTAGGGAGGAGCCATTTGCTGCTCTGTTTTAGTGATAGGAAGTCTTGGGCCATCCCTGGAGATGTCTGGACTTCTTCTGCCAACCAAGTTTGTGGGCATAACCAAGCTGCACAATTAAACCTTGTCTAAGGTAATTCCCCCTTCCCAGAGGATCCCTGGCAATCTGGTCATGAGAATGGGGTGCTGACTGGGAATCTTTAGTGGAGATTAGACACTGTAAATTCGCATAATTCTTTGGTGAAAGCCATGACAGTCAAGCTAGCGTAAAAGTCAATCTATGTTATTGCAGGGATAAGGGATTGGTTGCTGGAATGCTGCTCCAATCATCCTCCACCATTGATCAGACTGATGGGAGTTGGAGTCCCACAGTATATGGAGGATCACAGGTTTTCTATGCCTGTGTTATAGGATAGATAGGTCTAGAGAATGTTTTTGTTTTTGTGTGCGTTAACTAAAGATTCTACTGCTTAATTTGACCTCTAAATATAATTTAATTTAACGTAAAACAAATCATCTCTGTTTTGTCAGTGATCTCCAAACTCCAGCTGGCCAAAAGTTCACTTTTGAGAACTTTTCATCCCATCACCAGTATCAACAGCCCGAAACCAAAATAAAACCTACCTGTAGGACTTAAGACGAAGAAGAAGAAGAAGAAGAAGAAGAAGAAGAAGAAGAAGAAGAAGAAGAAGACAGGTTACAAAAGAATGAAATGTTGAAGTACCTACTCAAGGATAAATTTGCTGTTTTTTCCTGTTTTTGTTTTCAAAGCACATTGTGGTAGAAGTTTTGGATGGCAGAAATGTAAAACATTCAATACTTAATATTATCTGCTTTATGCATGATGTGAATGGCTGTGCGACGCAGCTTTACTATTCCCAATTAATTGTGGAAAAATACTGCTTCCATTAGTAGCACAGTAAAAGGTAGCCCAGCACTAATGATAATAAATTGCAGCATTTTTAACAGAAATGGAACAGTTCTTTAAATTGCTTTTTGCCTTGCAGTATGAGTGTGGTTGAAAAATAATTTAACCCTCCATTCCTTTTGTGTGTGTCTTTATTTTACATGATGCCATTATACCTAGCCCATACAATGTCAGGTTAATAATAATGATATTGTAATATTAATGCAAGTAGGGGGGGAACTATACGTTTTGATGAATAATGGCCCTGTGTTTTTGGATCCCCTTGCCAAGTCATATTAAAATGACAAATAATTGCAATTGCTTTGCAGAGGAATGAAACAGGCTCTGTAGTCAAAAAGCGCATTAGGGACCAGGGGTGTCCATTTGTTATCCTTTGTCAGGAAAACATGGTCCTTAATGAAAGGGAATGAAGGGACACTGATTGAGGACAGTGACACTAAGCCTCTTTCTCGGCAAGAGCCCTGACGTGGGTATTAAGAAGCAGATTGAAAGGTTAAGGCACAACTTTGGAAACTCGAGAATCTGAAATAATACACCTCTTGTCGCTTGCCAAAACTGCCATTAAAAAAACCAAAATAAAACCACAAGTTTGGGTGCCCTGATCATCAGAGGTCACAACGGACCAGAAAGCAGATGGCAGGTACTGCAGAGAAATGGCCCTTGAAAAACAGAAACAAAATAGAGGTTGTTGTTTTTGTTTTTTTAAGAAGCCTTGTTTCCATTTCCCTGCTTGTCTTCCTAAGTGCTTTTCCTCCCTTCGACTCATTCTCTCCCTCACCACTGTTCCTGCAGCTAACAGCCTCAGCTGGGGCATTTTCCTGAGTATTAATAAGTATACTGGAGAGAGTTGATGGTCTGAGGTCCACTCCAGCCTTACGGAACGGAATCAGTCATTTGAAGAGCAGATCTTCAGCTGTGCTGATTGCCGGTTGGTTGACTGGAGTCGACAGACACATGCCAATTTCTCAGCCCCCCAGGTGCTGGCTGGCCCCGCTGCTCCCCTCAGCCACTGCAGCTGAGCTCTCATTTGCTTTCACCTGGCAATAAGGACTCGGATCCTGGCTGCCCCGGGCAGCGACAAAACTCCTCTCTTTCAAAGCTTTGCTTTGCCCTCTGCAGGGAACCATCTGAAACCAAAACTCCATGACCTGTGCAAAAGAGCTTTTCAAAAATGGCAGCAGATTCTGGGAGCACGTGGAAAAGATGGTGGGTCTCTATCTCCCTCGCTTCTCTAGTGTGACCTCTCTCTCCTGTGCCACCTGAGGCCATAGCTGCACATCTACCTGGCTTTGTAACCCCTCCAGCAGATGAGCAATGTGCTCTGCCATCTCTGCTTCTGGTAGATATAGGAGCATGGGAAGTTGCCATATACCAGCTTGGACTTTTTCTTTAACTGCTAGCCCACTGTTGTCTGCTCTGAATGGCAGAATCTCAGGCCATCAGCTGCTACCGAACCCTTTTAACTGAATATGCCAGGGATTGAATGTGGGACTTTCTGCCACAGGAATAGGGAATCTTAGTCCTGGGGGTCCAAATCCAGCCCTCCAGGCTTCTCTGCCTAGCCCCTGGAGCTCTCAGGCCACACTCCTCACCAACCTTGCTTCATTTCCATTTCCCACAATGCCATGGGCCAATGCTATGTGAAGGAATTATGGGAAATGATCATGGTGGCTGTCTCTGCAGCCCACCTGGCACCCTTCAGATGTTTTGGACTACAATTCCTATCATCCCCAAGTAGCACAACCATGTTGGCTGGGGAAGATTGAAGTTGTAGTCCAAAACACCTGGATGGCGCCATGTTGGAGAAGGCCGATGTAGGGAATTGCAATGGATTGGGAAAACTGCTGGTTTAGTTAATATCTTAGAAAGACTTAAATCCCACCTCCCTCCACACACACCTTGCTGAGGTTTTCTTGACAATGACAAGAGGGACAAATTGTTCATAGATCTTATGTGGCATCTCAGATACAGTATATTTTCAGTTCTGTAATTTTCATGTGCAGTGCTTGGACTGGTAGGAGGAAGAGACAGAATGCCAATATATTGGTGAATAATGGGCTTATTTTTCTTGTTCACAGTCTGATCTTTCTGGACTTTCATCCTCAGAACTCCTCGTTCTCGTGAGACTGGAGTAGATGACCCAGTGATGTGGACTGGAATCTGTCTAAATTTGAAGGAATTCAGTGGTGGTGGTGGTGGTGGTGGGGAAATGTAACATTTAAAAGATAAAGAAGGGGGGGTGTTCTTGAAAAATACTACTGTCTTGTGTAACCCATTATTATATGTTAATGAATATGTGCCGCATTTACGCTGTTTTCCAGTTGGGCAAAAACTCTGAACTGAAGGAAGACTTTGTATTATTATTATTATTATTATTATTATTATTATTATTCAGTCATACCTCATGTTATGTTTGCTTCAGGTTGCGCGTTGTCAGGTTGCGTCCTGCGGCGACCCGGAATTACCAGAAAGGATTACTTCCGGGTTTCGCCGCTCACGCATGCGCAGACACGCAAAATAATGTCACACGCATGTGCACAAGCAGCGAATCGCGACCTGCGCGTGTGCAGACGCGGGGTGCGTTCCTTTCAGGTTGCGAACGGGGCTCCAGAACGGATCCTGTTTGCAACCTGAGGTACCACTGTATATGTGAAAATGAACATATGAAGACCCCAGCTGGATCATGCTCATGACCCGTCTAGTCCAGCATCCTGTTCTCACAGTGGCTACTCCAATGCCTATGGGAAATACCCAAGCACGACCTGAGTGCATGAATTCTAGCAACTGGCGTTCTTATCTCCAGCTTTGGAGGTATATCACATAGCCATTGTGGCTTTGGACCCCCAGCCATGGCTAAGGGCGAGGAACAGTAGTCAGACACCAACAGGGCAGCTTCAAGGGGAGCGGGGCTCCCACGTGATTGAGGACATCATAAAAGCAGCAGGTGACAGATTAAAAGCAAGCCTAATTTATTTATTTTTTAAAAATGTAAACCCCAAAGACGCCACAACACTCTTTGAGGGTTTATCTACAGCAAATTTACACAACTATCTCGGGCATTTTGAGCAGTAGCAAGTTTTCATTACACACACATCAGGTGATAATCTAGCAAGTCATGGAATCGTGGAATTGTTCAGTTGGAAAGGGTCCCGGGGTCAACTAGTCCAGCCCCCTGCAATGCCAGAATCTCCACTTTGTTCCCTTCCCGGCAATTCTTTTACACAAAACAGATACAGAGACTGGAATGTGAAGAGTTTCACTTTGCCATCTGTCTCTACTTTTCCCTTCTTCTTTCCCCCTCCTCCCCCTTCTCTTTCCTTTCTGCCCTTTCCTCTGCCTTAATTTAATAGGAAAACCAGTCACACAAGATGCCAGGCAGACAAATGTACTGAAGCCCTGTTAACATTTAATCTCTTTTTAGATAGATGCAAATATTGCTGTCAATGGTATCGGAGCCGGGTCCAGCAATCATTCAAGAAGCCTGCTCATCCATTTTCCAAGCCCGTACTCATTACAATCAGTCACTGAAAATTGCGATCCAGAATATTCGTTCTTGACGAAAACAATGGAATTAAGCCACCCAGCTTCAGAGAATTGCTTTCATATTCAAGCAGCACTACAGACATACAGACACCTCGCTGATGATTTTACTGCCCTGAAGAAAATATATTGCTCCTGCCAGAAACCTGTCTTTTGGTGCTTTGTCACTTACGAGTGATGATAAAATTCCAACAGAGAGACTTCTTTTTAATCTTACAGGTCATCGTTTGTACTCTGGACAGTCTTCCCTTTTGTCCTCATTTAGTCTAGATAAGGAGGAAATTCTTTTTAGTTGCCTCCAAACTTTGAAACCACACTCAAAAATCAAAGCCAGGTTTCGGGTGGAGCACACTCTCACAAAAGTCTTACCCACCCACCCACTTTTTTGCATGGGTAATCTTTTACATAATAATTAGGACACTGCACTACCAGGTACACTTCTGATTGCTAGATAGAGCCATATAGTACTTGAAGTGAAATCTAATCCATGCAATACCTTGACAAATACTATCTGCAGAATAATTATATGCTCATTCACACATTACACAGAACACAGGTACAAAAGAGTGGTTTGTGCTGGTGTAGTATGGGTAGCTGTATGAGCTTACATCTCAGCTCTTTGCGTACACAGATTCTTCACTCCCTGAACACAACATGTGAATGCTCTTATCATTATCTAGTTTGGCTCACCATCAGTCAGGTATTGTGAAATTCTTACAGAAATTGCTCTCCTTTGTCTAATCTAGGAACACGGAGTGGCCAGAAGAAAATGACTACAATTGCTGCTGAATAAAACCACAATTTCCTCACAAATATCAAAGGAAAGGACTGTTGCAAAGAAGTAAACTTGAAGGGGTTATTGGCAGATGCACCAGTTTTAAGGTGACCAGTCAGTATTGACCTTTCTGTTACACAAACTGTATAATAATAATTTCCCAGGCCTTTCTCTCTTAGATACACTGCTAAAATATCCAAACTTTGCTAGTGTTTCCAATGTTTTTCTCATGCTTTTGGTTGACTGCGACTCCCATCACCCCTAACTATTGGCTGTGTTGGCTGGGGCTGATGGGAGTTGGAGTCCAACAGCATGTGGAGGGCATCACACTGGCCGCCCGTCCTCTAGCAACACACTAGGAAACAATCTAGGCTGGGGATATGCACAGGAAGAGGCGGGCCTTGTGTAGATGGGGACAGGGTCAGCATCAGGTTTGAGGGGGTCCTGGCCAGTGTCCCTCTAGTGGCCCCCCTTCTCAGACAGTAATTCCTGGTGTGTTTATCTGGCTGCAATGACAGTGCTGAACACTGAATGGGGTTTGTATGTGCACATCTAACAACATTTACACTTCCCACAATGCCTCAGAAAGACACTAGGACCATGTCACCTGACTCTGCATGTCACCTGACTCTGCATGTCACCTGACTCAGGTGCTGGGCTTGGGGGAGGTGGTGGAATAGGAGGCCTGGGGACAGGCATTAACTGTGGGGAATACCAGGTGCTAAGCTGCTGGCAGCTGCCCAAGGATGCTAGGTAAGAACACTGCTACTGGCTCAAAGAACATAAACAATTAATTTTAAAATAATCACAGTTGAGGCACAGAGCCTCTAAAAGGAGTCAATCATCTTATCAATAAACAAAAACAAACAGGAGCCGTCCTTCCCATGCTGCCCCTTGAAGGCAGGGCCCCCCTCCTACAACTACAGCCATACCTCAGAAGTCGAACGCCTTGCAAGACGAACGTCTTGGCTCCCGAACGCCGCAAACATTTTTTGGAACCCGAACGCCTATCGCGACTTCTGCGGCTTCCGATTAGCTGCAGGAGGTTCCTGCAGCCAATCGGAAGCCGTGCCTTGGTTCCCGAACGTTTTGGAAGTCGAACGGACTTACGGAACGGATTCCGTTCGGCTTCCGAGGTACGACAGTATTAACTCTTTGCTCTCCCAATACTGCACTTTACCACAACAGATAACAACGCTGCACACATCGAACAACGCTGATGAGCCCCATTTGATATCAATTGATACCAGCAAAACTACCAGCAGAAGAGCTGCTGTATGATAGTGGCTTAAGAGACTGAACTCTGAATCAGGAAGTCCATGATGTTGCCTCTGCTATAAGCCCACAAGGTTTAGACAAGTGGGCTTTGCAGGGGGATGGACTAGTGTCCCTTCCAACTCTATGATTCTCTTTCTCTCAGCCTCAGTCTCTCCCACTATCCACAATATGGGGGCTAATAATGCTTACAAGGTGGTCGTAAGTGAATCAGTAAGGGAGTCAGTGTGGTGTAGTGGTTAAGAGCGGTAGTCTTGTAATCTGGTGAACCGGGTTCGATTCCCTGCTCCTCCACATACAGCTGCTGGGTGACCTTGGGCTAGTCACACTTCTCTGAAGTCTCTCAGCCCCACTCACCTCACAGAGTGTTTGTTGTGGGGGAGGAAGGGAAAGGAGAATGTTAGCCGCTTTGAGACTCCTTCGGGTAGTGATAAAGCGGGATATCAAATCCAAACTCTTCTTCTTCTTCGTAAGGATTACAGCTTAGACAAGGTATTGTTTTTAGATTAAAAAACAGAGCAAAGTGTTATAGGCAAAGATCCTCCTGAAGGAAAAGGTAGCAAAACATTATAAGGGAAAGGAGCAAGATGAACTTCCTTTGGAACCCATGTCTAATCCCGACATGCAACAGGAACACTTATGCATACACCCCTTGCAAAGCTCCATCGAAATTCTTTTACGCATCCCGATGAACCACTTTGGATCGCCCTAGCTGCAAAAATCATCCCTAGCCAAAAGAAGCAGCAGTATGGCAGTGAAGCTTTGTACAAAACCCACCAGCTGTTCTGATTCAGTATGACTAAGGTGCACAATAGTCCTTTGATTCACATAATTGTCTGCCAGTGTGACCCCTATTTCAGTGTCATTTCAATAGGAAATGCAGTTACTGAGCAATGGGGGAAAGACTTAGCAACATCGTCACACTCATGAATAAGATGTCAGATTCTAAAGCGAGAGGTGTTTAAATGAAAGGATGATGCAAAGACGAGAAAAGCACTGTCGCATTCCTTAGCTCACAAGTGGGCAGAAGGCAGATCGGTATTTACTAGTAGATAGATCTCTGGGTGATTTGCAATAGATCAGCAAAGATTTCTGACTCTTATTTCTGTTATTACAGAAATTTCTGTTTATTTCTATTATTACAGAAATAACAAATTGACTTGTTTTCACTGAAATTAGACTCTGGAAATGAAGCAAATTTTTCTGTGAATGCCCTGTGAGCATTTTCCACCCCATCCTGTATGCGGCGCTGTTTCTGTTCCATTGCAGCTCATCTTCTGCTACAGATGACATTATTTGTCTCTTGTGCTTTGGTGAAATTATATAAAATGTGTCATTTATATAATTCTTTGTCACCTTTTAGCTTTAAGTGAGAATATCAAAAGACAAACCACTTCGAGGTTTTTCCCCTGACAATCAAGCAGTGTAGAAATTTTATGAAATAAATAATAAATAAAGATCCCAAATACAATAGTCTGATATTTATAAAGAATTTATTTTAAAAAACAACAACGTTACTACTCAGCACCAATAATTATTATTATATTTTCCTAGGAATGCGGATGAAACAACCGCTTGTCAGTGGTTCAAACAATTGCATATTTCCTTGGTGTTTATGTAGCCTATAACCCATGACACCTGCACTGCAATTCCATACATGTCTACTCAGAAGTAAGTCACATTGAGTTCAATGGGGCTTACATCCATGTAAGCTTAAATAGGATTGCAACCTGTGTCTTTTCACCCCATTTCCTCATT